CGTGGCGGCGGAAGAGTGGCACGGAAGCGGGAGCCTGTCGCGAGGCGCGCAACCGCACCGCGCGCGCGCCCGGACAACGACTGCGGCCTTGTCGCGCCCCGAGGGAGCGGGTGGCTGTCGGAGATTTTATTGCGTCACGACTATGGTATGCCCTATTAGACCTCAAATGAAGTAAACCCGTATTTGCGAAAAGACAGCATGAATACGCAAAGAGGCTGGCTTTTCATAAAAACGTTGCACACTACAGCAAAGATCTGCACATAGCGTAGGAGGCGCGGTACAAATTTCACATCTAGTCCTCGCGGAGCAGGAAAAAAATTCTGTATAACCACGAACCGACAGGTGATGCTCATCACCGACATACAGGGGGGGTCGCTCGATAGTGCCTACTTTAGTAGTGCTTCCCTCTATATAGTGCTATGGCTCACCCTCTGGCACAGGTTATCATAAGCTCATGGTTCAGAACTCAAAGGATGAAGTTATTTAGTTGTGTTATACAGGCTTTGTTGTGTTTGTGTTAGCATTGTGCTTTGTCCCCAAATATATGTATTTGAGCCTCCCTTATATAGTGCCATCCCCCCAATAGTGCCATAGCTAGAAGTATGTCACGCTATAGCACTATATCGTAGGAGGCACTGTATCTCAAACGGTTCATTTGGAGGGGTGTGGTAAGTGATCATACCTCTGACATCCTGAAAAAAACATAACTTTTAGGGATGATCAAAACAAAAACTGCTGAACGAAATGGCAGGAACTGTCAACCATTGCTGCACCAGCTTAAAATTTCCAAAAAAAAGAAAAAGACACAAATCTGCCACCGGAGCCCGTCCTGGACAACCCCCCCCACCCCCCCCCCCCCCGAATCCCTCCCAAAACCCCCCTGAAAAGTGACTGACAACTCAACTGCCTTTGCAGTGAGTACATGTGTTTATCATATTCCATCTGCTACTGTGCGAAAACACTACTCCTGAAGAAGACCGAGCATTGCCCCACCTCCCTCCTCGTGATGGTGCTGCGCACTAAATTTCAATCCCGGACGCGCCTTTCGTCGTGCCCGGTATCATCGGGCTCCGAAAACATGAACCACGTCGTAATTGTGAACCTAATTCATCGTTAACTGGGCGACAAAAACTGCTTGCTGTCAGCCCTACATGTGGTTCTATTCGTCTACTGCAGAATCGGCTCTTTATATTTAAATACAAACCAGCTAACGAGTTTACGCGCGCTTTTTCCCATAGAAACACATCCCTTCCCATTGCTCCGACCGACTTTAACATTCCACACGCTTTGCCTAACGCTCGAGATTTGTCTTGTGCCTTTCCCCCATCGGCGGCTAACGGATGATATCGAAACGCGTTTGCGCCCCTCCGGGGCACAAGGGAGTGAACTCTGTTCCAGTCCAACAAGCTCTCGCCCACTACCGCAATTTGCAACTCTCAATAAGAAAGTGCGCAACGATGCACCACGTTCCCTACTCTACCCTGCGTCGCGCTGCACAGCCGAAACAATCTGCAGCAACCCCACAAGGCCGCCCACCTGTGTTATCCGCCTCAGAAGAAGCTTTTATTGTGGATGCCGCGCTAGACTTCTCGCAGAAAGGCACACCTTTGTCACGAGAATGTCTGAAGTCTCTTGTTGCTACTTTTGTACAATCCCTCCCTCCGCAGCGACAAAAAAGGATACCATTTAAAAATGGAAAGCCTGGGAATGGCTATTTGCACAGATTCTTTGCACGGCACTCCAGGCTAACACTCAAGCGCAGGTCAAGTCTAGAAAAAGCGCGTCAATTAGCGATGTCGCCATCAAACTTGGCATCACATTTGGTGCGTCTCGCACAAGTGTACAAGGAGTTTAAGATAACGTCGGCTGAACAAATTTTTAACATTGACGAAAGCGGCTTTTCCACGCGTATAACCGCACGCGCTCGAAGCAAGGCTGTGTTTGACGCAAGTGGGAAAAGTAACTCAACTGAATTGAAGTGATCTGGCAATGCTGGTCATGTCACCATTATGCCAGTTGTGTCTGGAGACGGGCGGGCTTGGAGCCCACTTACAGTGCTGCCTGGCAAAAAAACCAAACACCGCATTCGCTCTGACGGAACGAGAGAAACTCCTGCTAGCTTTCTCCCTCCCAATTATTATTGCGTGTACCGGGAGAAGGCTGGTGTGGACTCCGAAATCTTCTATCAGTGGACATCAAAGTTTCTGGAGGAGACCAAAATACTGCGTGAGAAACACCGCCACATTGTTCTCACAATGGATACTTACGGTGCCCATTGCACGTGCAGGTCTCTTAACGCCCTCAAGAACGGCCGTGTAGTTGTCATCGGTCTGCCCGCCCACACAAATCACAGGACTCAAGTGCTCGATTATGCGGTTTTTTCGCCATTCAAGACGTCGTTTCGAAACCTGTTGAAAAGTAGAGCGTATTCCGTTGCGGGAAAAACGAATGACATCTACACACTCTGCGAAATACTGACACGGGCGTACTACGAGTCCGTCCGTCCGGACAATATCATAAGCGGTTTCGATGCATGCGGTGTGTGGAAAAGAGGACATGGGGGAGCTAATGCTGGTGTGATCCGGCAGACTGATATCACCAATTTTGAGAGGGATGAAGACCAGACGGCAGCATTCGACACATACAAGGATCTTGTCAAAGCATTCACACATTCCCGAAATATGCTGCGCAGTGACAGCAGTGTCATTGAAAGCGGTACTTTGATAACGAGATCAGGAGCTTTATTGACAAGGGATGATGTGCTCAAGGTGCTTGAAGAGCGTTCTTTGCAGCGCCAAGAAGCAGCGTTGCAGCGTGAGGTGCGGGCGGCCGAAGCAGCCGCAAAAAGGGCACAGAAAAGAGCGGGAGTTGGAGGAGAAGCGTCAGCAAAGGGTGGAGGAGGAGGCACGAAAAGAGCAACACGGCATCTGGCTTGCTCAAATGCCTGCTCGAGCGGAGCGTCTGAAAGCTAACCGGTCCCAGCGTCGGGCCCAGCGCCGGGCTGCTGCAAGGCTAAAAAGCAGCTATTCAGGCAGCGAATAACCTGTGCAACCAAGTCACTGATCAATTATGAATAAAATTCGTGGGGCGAAAATATCATATGTGATCCACATTTTCAGCACAGTGAGGCCCATAACGGCTACTTGTTCATGGGAAGCGATGGCGTTGTTACGGTTTTCCTGTATTTCAACAGCCAATCCCAAAGCGATATATGGATCTAGAGGCATGCTTTGGAGCTTTGTGCCAAGTTGTAGGAGAATTGGACAATTTCTTCATTATTTACTATTCAAGATGTTGAGACTGATCCATAATATGGTACCCCCTAATACTCGAGTTGCGCCTTCTTTCTCTTCTGCGCTGTGTCGATTCCAATCGTATTCAGACGATTCTTGTATCGTCTAAATGCACAGCCATCATCATCGCGCAGTGGGTGCCACTTGATATGCATGTTCGTGAAACAGACATTTAGGCGAAACAGCACATCATAGATCTTCTCTCCCCATCTGTACTTACTGCCCATGATATTCCAGAGCACTCATTGCCTGCCAAAGTAGTTCTCAACTAAAATTCTATCAGAAGAAATTCTTGCATTTGCGCGTTCTTGTTCTGAGGTCAGGACACCATTGCGGGGCTTTTTCTTGGGGAGTACGGCCCGTACTATCTCAGCAGCTCCCT